TAAATTATTAGGTCATTCATCAACATGTTAATCGTGTCGAACTTAATTGGATCCGATGCTAAATTGACAAAACTCTCAAATTTTGAGAGCTTGCATTAATTTAATATTATTCTATAATAATAAAAAATAAAAGAATCAATTTTAAAAATATTTTATCGTTCACATTCAAATAAAATACCGTTAGTTATTAAGTCCTTCCTTGACATGCCAATAATATCAAGATTTAATTGAATTTACTACTCGAATTGACACGACTCTCAATCTTGGAGCTCGACGTTAATTTAATACAATGTCATAATAAAAAAACTAAAATATTATTTGACTTAGATGATAAATAAGCTTGGAAATAAACTTAGGAAATAATTTGACAAACATAATTTTTAGGAGATATTTTAAGAATTAAATTAAACCCGGAACCTTTTTTCGGAATGAGTGCATTTGGATGATTGTTATCTTTTCAAAAGTATAACCAATTCCTTATCTATAATTTCTAAATCTAGTGTTCTTTTTAGGTTTTCTAGTTATCTTTAATACTAGGTGACGACTTCAAATTTTTTTTTAATTCTTTTTTTTAACCAATCGACAATTTTTTTAGTAGCCTCCTAAATGTCGGGTAGCAACAAAAGTGATCATTATTGTCAAAATAATTATTTTCTATAAAACCTTTTTTTTTAAAAAAAAAAAAGTAATGACCTATTGCCAAGTATTTTGACACGAATTAAGGTTTGATATAACCGATGATTAATCAATCTAGACGTGTGTGTGTATATATATATGAAAACAACATTGAAATAAAGTTGATATAGCATCGATTTTTTTCTTTAAATAAAACATCAGAACTACCGGTGGATTAAAATTTAGACGAAAAATTGTCTAAATATCAAGGATTTAATAACTGATAACGTATCATCCTTTAATCAAATCTCGCTTCAGAATTTATGATGATTCTTCAATATGCATAAAAATGTGTTTTTTTATTCTTTTGAAGTAGCATAGACACGTCAAATAATTTATCTTTTGATCCTATCATTTTTCTATTTAAATTTATGCTTAAATTTTAAATTATGATAGTAATATTCGAAATTATGTCGATGTAAAATTAAAGAAAATGGAACTATCAAATAGAGAATAATGTGGTTTTTTATTCTATAGTTATGGACTTGTTTACTAAAATTAAGCACTTTTTCAATATAAATTGCTCAAGTACCCATTCAATGTTGATTTTTGCCTTTTTTCAATTGTTGACTCTTAATATATTGAAACTCAAAAAGAAAAACACAAATGATATTAAATACTACAAATATTTATTAAATTAGAAAATTTTCCAATTTGATATTGATTGATTATGATTTCACTTACCTAAATTTTTTAAATTATTAAAATACTAAAATAAATTTATACGGTTACCGGCAGCAATACCAGGACAGTACTGTCCTAGTAAAAAAGCTACAATTCAAACTTTGTATCCTAATGAATTTTTTTTTAAAAAAATAAACAATCAAATAAAATGAATATAACTTATATTAAAAGAGCAAAGGATATAATAAAAATTTATAGCACTCTTGCACGACAACCATATAAATTTCATCGACTTTAATATGCCATAAATTAACTGGGTTAATTTGGATCAACTGGGTTAATTTAGGTCTTTTTACAAAAGATTTTAACGGCCATGCATGGCTTAATTTACGGCCAAAGCGGGGATGGATGTTTAAATGTAATGATAACCACCAAACATCTAGCACCAGAAGGAGCATATTTACGTATCCTAAAACCTGCAAAACCTTTCAAATGGATCCAACTTGTGAGATAGTGATGTGAAACATTTGATATACGAATATATGAATCAGATTGAAATATAAGCCAAGAGGTTAGTTTAAAAGAGTAGACAAGTATTGCAGTTTGAAATGTAAGCCCAATCCGATTTAAAACTTTGCAACAAAAGGATGTCGACAGAGCTGGAAATGGATTTTAGTGCATTTTATGTTATTTGAAAAAAAAAATGAAATGGAGGGAAATTTCTCGTTAAATTTGATTTTTTTCAAGTTATAATTATCATATCACTTAATATCTATGTCATAATCAACACTTTTTTATTTAAAGAATACACCTGAGCATGTTATACGTACCAGCTATCTTTTCAAAATTTATTTGATTGTTAGGATTTTGAAAATCAATATATCAATTTTTAAAAAATAAATTTTAACACAGTCGATTTGTAAAAGTTTTCTTAATATACACTAATTTTGTTATCATTTTTCTCTTTTTTTTTTTTTTAGAGATGTTCCAAGTTTTATTCTTCTTGTTCTTTCTATTCTTTTAGTTTCTTTTTTTTTTTTCTTTTGGATTTCTCACGTTTTTTTAATTTTTTGAAAATTAATTTATCATTTCTTATGTCTTGAAAAAAATTTTGGTGGTTTAAATGATATTTTTTTTCAAAAAAATTTACAATATGAAGTATGGAAGAAAATATGAATATATAAAAACACATAGAAGCGAAAAATTCTTAAAAAGACCCGTGAGGAGATACTCTCAACATTTACATTATTATATAATATATCTATTATATAAAAGTATTACCACCCACCAATCATATTGTTGATAAATAAACATCATTGAAATGCAAACAAAAAATTTTAAGTAGAATAATTAACTAGAAAATGTTGAAACAAAGTGCTGGGTAGTTGTATTTCGATCTTTTTTTAATAAATTTACGAATTTAACTCCAAAGCATCCTAACAATACCTCAATGCATCATGTCTTATCCTTGAATAAGTACGTGTGTATTCCAGTGTTTCTAAAATATTGGTAAATTTGAATTTCTTTTTTTTTTTTATTCTTTCAGACCTCCGGGATATATAATTAGGCATATTCTTCATATATATATATATACTAACACTACCATTATAATTATTACCAGGACAGTATATATATATATATATACTGTCCTTTCTTAGGTATTATGGATGAATGATTTGGGGATGCAATCTCAATCAAATTATAATTTTATAATAACAGTATTATTAATTAATTATAACGTAGGGGGTGGTCCTTCATTATGTCTCTTTCTTTACCATATTATCTGGCCTTTGGCTTATCCTCTACTTGCATTAGTAAATGTCAGTGAGCTACTCGGCCAAACTAAAATGACAAACATAAAAATAAAGGGTCATTAATGATTCGTTAATAATATGATGTTTACGGCATGCATAGCGACTAATTAAATAATTTCTTCTAAATATATACTGTATGTATATTTTCGATCTTATGAAAAAGGATTGGATTTAAGTAGATTTTCTTAATAGTTTTATAGTTATGCTTTGTGTTTGAATCATGTCAACGTTTTGGACATAAAATCCGATTAGCCGGGTATTATTTCGGTTTTTATTTTTTTATCATAAGAAATAATGTTATGATTTATTGTTTCTTAAACACCATTTTTTTTTCAAGAATTAGAACATCTATGGGTTCATCATTTTATTTATTAAAAAAAAAGTAAGAAATATCATTTTAAAGTTCCAATCAATTACAAAATAGCATCAAACATCAAAATCAAATAATATAAACTATAAATCATTAATAGAATTTATTTTACCAATAAAAATAGGGAAATAAAAAATAAATAAAGGATTGAACTAATAGGATATTTTATTGTTTTTTAATATTAGATAATATATATAGATATCTAGACACATGCACACTACTATTATTATTATTATTATTATTATTATTATATTTTATTTTTGGTGAAAATCAAATAAAAAAATTAAAACCAAACTGAAAAAAAAAAGCGAATTATATTCGCTAAATTGAAAAAAGAAAAACCAATAAAAACACAAATTGAAATCTTCAATTCGGTTTGATTTTTTAATTTCATTTGCATACTGCTCACCCTTACTCATAATAAAAATTGAAAAAAAAAAAAAGATATAAAACATACAATGCTTGAGATTAATTGGTGTATTATTTCAATCATAGTAGCAGATCAATTGATGGTGAAAAAATGGGTGTACGAGTAAGTGAACTATTTATATTCCATAAGAAATATTTTGTATTCCGTATATGAAAAATAATTTGCAAATAAAATTTTTTATGCTAAATAATTCTATACTAAATGATGTGTCGATCTATAAATTATATATGAATTCCATGAGCTTTAAATAATGATTTTTCACAAAAAAGGTAACTGTCACATATATTTATTTGAGAATTTTTCATGAATAGTTTGTTAATTTGCATAACATTATTTTTTAATTAAACTTAAAATGTCTAAATGAAAGCAACCAATTAGACATAGATATACTATTTCATTTTAAAATTAGTAATAAAATTTGAATCTAAAACTTGTAACTTATTAAGCTTTATTTTCATCACCTGAATTAACAATTTTAAGAGAACATATAGATCATTATTTTTTTTAAAAAAAAAAGGTCATTGGACCAGTTTTAATATATAGAAAATCAGTTCATCTTTCGGATTTAATTAAAAGTTGGTTATACCATATTAAGACCAAATGATTCATAAAACTTTATTTTTCATAACGTGACATAGGATTCGAATTGTGATGGTTAATTAAAGAAGGAGGAGCACATTCAGCATCGAACCAATCACTCAAGTTTCATATAGGTCATTAGTTTAAGGAAATGGGAGACACACGCATGTAATGCTTTAATCTGTCTGCAAATAGGGACAACAATATTTCATTGGTGCTTAGATTTAAGAAATTGATGTGGCCCCAGATACTATTATGCTCACCATTGCAGGCGGTGAGATGTTCCTGATCACATCCTCGCACGCAATTATTAAGACCCCGAACAAAAAATAGAATAACAAAACACGAATGTAACACCACATACGGGTCACAAAGAAACAATTGACATAATATATATAAATGGTCGTAGAAGGGGAAATTGAATAGATCAACCAGGACAATAGAAGCTTTCTTCTTCAATATTTATCTCTTGGCTACCTCTTCAGCAAAAAAAAAAAAAAAAAAAGAAATGGGCTCTGAGATTCCTCTCAAGCTTCCAGTGATAGATTTCTCAGAGCTAGGCCGAAATTCAGGCGCTGCTGAGTGGGACTCGGTGAAATTGCAAGTTCGTAAAGCGCTTGAAGAGTACGGTTGCTTCGAGGCCTTATTTGACAAAATTCCTGTTGAAAGTCGCAAGGCTATTTTTGGTGCAGTGGAAGAGCTTTTTGACCTACCTTTGGAGACCAAAATGCTTAATGCTTCTAGAAAACCTTACCATGGCTATGTTGGACAATACCCTCAGGTGCCACTATTTGAAAGCATGGGTATTGATGATGCCAACATAGCTGAAAAGGTTCAGAGCTTTACTAGCATCTTGTGGCCGCAAGGGAATCAAAGTTTTAGGTTTACCCCCGTTCTCTGCTCTTTTTCTAATTTTTCCCATATGCATAATAAAAATTAGGAAAAAAAAAAACTTGTTTTCATTCTTAAACATCCGCTAACTTTTCCTGTTTGTGTGTTTTTGTTTTCTAATTGAAATATTGATTAGACCTTGGTTAATACTCTTTCAAAGTAAGAAGGTCTTGGTGGCTCGTAACCCATCTTTTAATCTCAAAAAGAGTATGCACTTCGGTACATATTTATGCATGATATTGAGACCTAATAGATAATTTTGGTTTGAATTACAAGAAACTAATGTCATAGAATAAAAGTAAAAAAGTTGAACAATAAATTTGTGAACTCTTCAAAAACTACTGAGTCATTTTTTTACAGTGTTTATGAAGAGTACTGTGTTTTGGCATGAATTTTAAAAATGGATAAGTTGTCTTGTTGTTCTTGCACCAGTAGATTTGAGCAAATTTTTGTTTATTTTACTCTATAATATCATCCTTTTTATTATTGATTTTTGATCGAAATATTGACGACTCACATTCATTATAGGTCTTTTTTACGATATAATATCATATATGAGGTACGTAGTAGTCTTTTGATAGTTTCTAAGAGATTACTGGGTTCAATTTCTATCGAAGTTAGGAATTATGAATTTGTTTACACCACATGTATGAGAATATTAAAATTAACCCTTCATTTTTTTTATGATGGTCAAATTAATCCCTTTTCAATGAGTATTAATTAAGCTTGGTTTTCTTTCTCCTTGAACACTGGTATGCTCCTAAAAACTTGTTACCTAAGAATTTGTACCGTACGTTTTCATCGATCTTAAATCGTATGTTTTCACTTTTCATACGGCTCTTGTACTAATTAATGAACCTATTTTGTCAGCAACACTGTTATGTCCTTCTCAGAGCAAGTGTCGGAATTAGATCAAATAGTTCGGAGGATGATTGTCGAGAGCTTGGGTCTCGAGAAATACCTGGACGAGCACATGAACTCTACAAACTACCTTCTCAGGGTCATGAAATACAAAGGACCCCAAACAACTGAGACAAAGCTTGGGCTATCTTCTCACACGGATAAGAACATAGTGACCATTTTGCACCAAAATCAAGTTGATGGGCTGGAGGTACAAACCAAAGATGGTGGCTGGATCAATCTCAAACCCACACCAGACACTTTTATTGTCATGATTGGAGATTCTCTCTATGTAAGTCCTTGTCTTTCAGTTTTTGAAAAATAATTTTTATAATGTATAGATTCTACGAAAATTCAGTGCAAACTAATAGGAAAAATAAATAATATTTATGTGATCCTGAGAAACTCTAAATTATTGGTCAAACATGAGGAAGGGAAACCAGTTTATCAAGTTTTTGTTGATTTGGTGGGTATATCTTTTCTTTTCTTTTTTTAATATCAAACCCATACCAAACATGAGGAAGGGAAACCATTTTATCAAGTTTTTAATATGCATGTATCGTGTTGCACGTCTCACAAGCATATGTATGATGTTTTAAGTCACAACTGACGGGCTATGATTTAATTAGTATCGGTGTTCTTTAATTTTCTTTCTAAAAAATCTTGAATTATACATAATTATTTGATAGCAGAACTGACATCAATAGGAATATACTAATACGTGTTAATTAATGTTTTTAGCCCTTTGGACTATGGGGTCTATGCCTATGGTGTTGTAATGGTGAAGCTTATAATGAAAATGTGACTGTAACTTACAAATATATATGGTTTATGCAGGCTTGGGCAAACGGCCGACTCCATTCTCCTTATCATCGAGTTATGATGAGAGGCAACGAGGCACGGTACTCAGCTGGATTGTTTTCAGTCCCCAAAGCAGGCTATATAATAAAGGCTCCAGAAGAGGTAATTGATGAGGAGCACCCCTTGCTCTTTAAGCCCTTTGATCATGTGAAGTTCCTTGGATATTACTACACAGAGGCTGGTCAGAGAGCTCAATCTGCATTGAAGACTTATTGTGGTGTTTAAAGTGCACTGTTCCATTTGCTACCAACTTGTATCGTACTGTCTTTAATTTGCTGTGATTTTGTTTTTAGTTCTATGTTATACAGGCTTGAAGTCGAAGGTTTAGGATTCAAGCTTTCTCTACGCTTGTGTTCTTCGTATTTGTCTCCATTAGATCAATAAGCAGGCACCTTGTAAATTTCCTCCTTTCGTGTGTTGTACTATTCTGCAATAAATTAAGTTCTTTTACCTTGAAATATTTGTTCAAAAAAGAAATAATCGAATTGCATTCAAGGACAAAATTCAACTCCAACGGAAGAAAACCTAACCAATTAATGTTTTTTTCTTAAGGTCCCAAAATGAAATTCATGGGCTCCGACCGGACTATACTACACATCATTAGATGGAAAGAGTTTGTACCCAATTTTTCAGAGGTTTGTAGTAGTGGCGGTAAAAAAATGCTAAAATGAGTAGGCCTTTGATATGGCATTCAATTGGGATTTAAGGCGTTCATGGTCTTGGACTTAGAAAGAGATGGAATTGAGCCATATGTGGAAATGGGCAGGATGAGGATTGACTATGGCACTCCAAAGAGAATACCGGGGAAAGGCAAACCTTTAAAATGTAGGAAATAATATGCAAATCATTGATTCAAGGGTTTTTCTTTCTAATTTACAGATTGTTAGAATTTTTAACAACAAAAATTGGAACGTAAGGAAAAAAAAAAAAAACCTTTAATTAGATTAAATCAATATTAGTAAAAATACTATTGAGATTTATGCCTAAATCTGATTTTTACTCGTATTTTTTTAAAATTTTGGATGCTACAATCATTTTGATAGCAGAAGGTAGAGACTCACCAAAAAAATCAATAATTGTTCTGGAGGTAACGTTTGTGATAAATTATATAGGACAAAAGTATAATTGATCAAACTTATGAAGGGTACAATTAGATATAAAATTTCTCTAAAATTATGATATAGACACTAGGCTCGAATGAATGAAAAAAGAATTCATAAAGAAATCTTGCGTTATTTTTATAGAAGAATATTGTCACATAAAAAACAGTATTGACTAAGAAACATGAAATTAATATGGAGTCAATAGTTGGTGATGATGGTAATACAAATAAAGAGAGTGTTGAGCAAGAAAAGCATATTTTCTATTTTAGAGTGTAGAACTTCAAGTGAGTAGGTCTCGTTGGTCAATATTATTATTTCGCCAAGAAGTTTAAATCTAATAATATCTTGTTAATGGGCCACAAGAAGTTAAATAGTTTTTCTAATATTCTTACTTTTGATAAGGGTCAATAATCAAAGTTTAGAATGTAGAACTTTAAGTGAGTGGATCTACTAATCGGTATTATTATTTCACCAAGAATTTTAGACCTAATAATGTCTTGTTGATGGAGGGAGGAAGCTAAATAAGTTTCGTAATATTTTTATTTTTGACGAGAGGTCAATAATCAAAGTTTAATGATCAACGACGTCATTGGCTTTGTGAGACAATAGAGAAGCAATTAAAAATATTGAGAATAATTCATCAAGATTTGTTGAGATTTCCCCCTCGTGGACTAGAAGGAGAGATTTGTTGAGAATATGCTATAAGTCCAGGTCATGAGTGACTTTAATATAATTCATTAAGAAATTAAATAAGAAAACAACTACTGTGAAAATAGAAACCAAAGTTTTTTTTTCCTTTTAGTATAATTGCCAAGTAGAGCGATTAGAGAGAAAAGAAAAGAAAGCAATGGTTTTTGTTATTCTTTTTTGATGAATTTTATATACAAAAAAATAAGGATTTTTTTCACTAAATATTGAGATTTTTTATCTAGCATTGATTTTTTAGGCATTGTGATCACAGAAAATTATGATGTTCAAGAAGGTGATATCACATAATATCAAGTTTAGTGAAAACACAAATATTTTAGAAAATTTCAATCTTTTATAATAAGACGACTTTAGCTAATAGATTATTTCGAAGTTGGTCTGAGGTTTTTTTTTTTAATGATAAAGAAGTTTTCTACATAAATATTATATTTTTGTAATTGCACTCTTGTAATTGACTTACTTTTTTAATTATATTATGTGTTTGATTTAATTATTTTATTAAGAAAATTTATTTTACACAAAACGAGATTAAATTCTCAACGAAGAAAAAAATCCATCTGCTTAAAAAAAAAATGATTGATGTACAACTGCATCCCACTTGTTGATGATATATACTTTTTTCCAACTATCTTTATGTTCTATTTTGAAAATATAATTATAGAACATATTTTTTAAATTTTAAAATTGTTCGAAAGTTACATAATAATAAAGTAACTGGGTTGATTGAAATGGGATGAAATCGGTTTTTCTTTTTCTCTCGAAGGGAAGGGATCCTTTGGACGAATTCTAAATTCGTAAGCAAGATTCCTCCTTTTCTTTCAAATTCACAGAGTAAAACTAGACCTATTGTTGCTTAATTTCAAGGAATAATTCCATTTCCTTAATATGGTATTGTACCCAAACGCTCCCTTGGGAAATAAAATTTTGTGACCTGATGATTTGCATCCTTACTAACCAATCTTTGCTGGCAGCAAAACCACATTGTCCTCCTTGGAGAGAGTATTGGAATTGAATCGACTAGTTAGGAAGATAGTTGTTGAGAGCTTGGGCCTTGATAAATACTGGGATGAACGTTTTAACTCAACGACTTACCTTGTTAAAGGCCACAGACAACTGAGTCAAAGATTGGGCTAACTTCTCACAAATGATAAGAACATGGTGACAATTTTAAGCCCAAATAAAGTTGGGCTAGAAGTACAAAACAAAGATATCGGCTGGATTAATCTCAAACCTACACCAGACTCTTTTATCGTCATCATTGGTGATTCTCTAAATGTTAGTAGTTTAATTTTTTATCACTTTCTTAATCCAATTACAAAAATATTTAATTAGAGATTCTCTCCTAGTAAGTTGTTTAATTTTTTATCACTTTCTTAATCTGGTTACATATATAGCCCTGTATGAGCATTTAGTCATGTCTTGTAAATTTTTGTCCAACATGATGATGTAAATTTGAAAGAAACAATTGTATTGTACAGTACATTTTTTGCAGGCTTGGACAAAGGGTCGATTGCATTCTCCATATCATCGTGTAATGATGACAGGAAATAAAAGCAAATCACTCTGCTGCATTGTTTTCAATCCCTAAAGCAGGTTTTATAATAAAAGCCCCAGAAGAGATAACTGATGAAGGACGTCCTTGACTTTTAATTTGATCCCTTTGATCTTTTACTTGCTGTAGAATCGCTGTTGCAGCAACTGGTGTATGATTTTTGGAGACTGGGGACTCATAATGTAAAATTGAGTTTAAAATTAAATGTGCGTGGTAAGTAACATGAAAAAATAGCGAGGAAGAGAAAAAACAAAAAAAAAAACAAAAAAACAAAAAAACAACTTGCCAACTTCCTGTGAGATATGTTCTTACAGTATTGTCAGGCATACAACAAACCATTTCTTGTATCATGTGATTATTAACCTTGTTAACATTTAAGGGGAAAAGGAAATGGTGATAATTTTTTTTTTTTTTTTTGAGTTCATTGAATATGCTAATTATGGTAGAGTCTATCACATATGATTCAATTGAAATGTTTTTGTAATGCATTTACAATAAGAAAATTATGTTAAAGGAATTGAATTTTCTTGTTTTTCCATTGCTTATTTTTTTTCCTTTTTAAGTGATTTATGTTCATAATTTTCTTTTGGTAAAATTTATTATGCATGTTATATCATTCATATTTGTAATAATATGTTAACTAGTCTTTACAGGATATAGATGGAAGGACAAAATTGAAACTATTTGATAACATTAAGGATGAAATTGCTAAAAGATAATTAAGAGCTAGCATGTAGGTCAGGATATATATTTTTGTAATTAACCGTGTATTTAATCTAGTTTAAAAGCCAATTGAATAAATTCCCATGTTCTTTCGCCTTGTAAGATTTTTCACCAGGAGACGTCATCAGATGACACACATGGTTGTTGAAATTAATATTTATAACAAAAATACTAGTATAAAACACCAATTAACCATTCTTTTCACGACTATCATTTGCCTACGTGTTATTGATTCGAAACTTAATAACCAAGTGAATAAATGAAATTCATGAAAAGAATATTTCTTTGAGGCTCATTCACCAAAGATAACAATGAAAGTCAAAAAAAGTTTAAATTATTTATGTTGCATTTGATTTTTTATAACTCAAATTAATAGATCATAAAAATTATGTGTAAGTGGATAACTATTGAAATTAGCATCAAGTCAAGAATTTTATCTCAAATTTCAAGGCCAATGCTCTCGTCCGTTTTTACATAATATGTCAATTTTTCAATCTATTTTTTTAAAAAAATCATTTTCAATATGTCTTTATTTTTTTTATCGTGTTTCTAATTTATCCTTCTAGTCAAAATTTTCAATCAATTTTTAGAAATCAATCTTTATAATAATAAATATAAATCACTTGTACCAAATAATAAAAACAATTTTATCAAATGTAAACATATTACATACAAATCGCATGCTTAGTTTGACTTAATTTAGTTAAAAATTTTAATTAAAGAACATACTAGAAATCAGTTCAAAATATAAAGACAGATTAGAGATATTTTTTTTTACGGACATGTAGAAAAATGGCCTATTATATTATAATAGATTAGGATATTAACTCTAAATTTTATTCTTCTATGTTTTCTTTGAAGTGTTTTTTTTTTAAAAAAATGTTTTTGAAGCACCTGTAATGGTTATTTTCGATAATTATTCTGAAAATAAAATAACTTTTTATTACGCGGTAAGGATATTTAGTGAAAGAAAGTATCCAACAAAACATATAAATAACGATACTAATCCACTACATCTATTCTATGGGTGTTTGATTATCTAAAAGTGGAAAGAGAAGCTGCATAATTAGAAGATCTTGCTAGACTACTAATTAAATCAGTGTCCAACATATAAGTATATAAAATGGAGTTTGGTCAGACCTAACTATTTCCCAGACGTATATTTATTACAAATAAATAATTTCAAAATTTCTTTAAAATATTTGATAAAAAAAAATTAAATAGTTTCTGTACTATCTGTAATTTAAATTTACAGTCAACAGCCTATTTACACAGTAATTCAGAGAATCTGAGGCACATAAAAGCATCCTTGGACGAATTCTAAATTCCTAAGCAAGGTTCGTCCGATCCTTTTCTGTATAAAAACAACACATACACAATTTATCAGACTAATTCACAGATTGTCGTTACTTTCAAGGACTAATTCCATTTCCCTAATATGATCTTGTACGCAAAAGCTTCTTTTGGAGACAAATTTTGTGGCTTGAGGATTTGCATCCTTACTAACCAATTTTTGTTGGCAGGAAAACCATGCCGTCCTTCTTGGAGCAAGTATTGGGGTTGGATTGAATAGTTAAGAGGATGATTGTTGAGAGCTTGGACCTTGAGAAATAAAGGGATGAACATATGAACTCAACGTGCCACCTTCTCAGGGTCAAGAATTACAATTGAAATGTTTCAGAACACAATATATTTTTCTAGATTCATAAAAAATGACAGCGAAAATTAAACTAATTATCTCTAAAAGAAGGTTGATCTTTCAAAACTCCGATTAATAAATCAGAAAAATTGTTTATAAGTAGATAACTATTGAGATTTGGAATTAGGATCAACCCAAAAACCTTATCTCAACTTATTGGAATTAGCACAATTTAAGTTTTTCTTTTCTTTTTTGAAGTATCTTCAGTGATAACTCTTAATTATTAAATTATAAAATTACTATATATATATATATATATATATATATATATGACTTTTTATTCCTCATAAAAACATATTAATTTAATGAAAATATTCAACAAAACATACCAACAACAATCCTTATTCACTACATCTAATTTCTATGGGTGTTTGATAATCTAAAAGTAAAAAGAGGAACTGCATAATTAGAAAATCTTGCTAGATTACTAAAGTGGCATTCAACATGTAAAAAGATACTCTTTCTTTTCTTACTAAGGGACACTCTGCAAGACTCTCATACTTAATCATGCATTTGATCAGGTATGGACTAGAGAGAATCAATTAATACCTATAAATTGTTGGTTTGGGTATTGGCCTAGAGACACTCACTTCAAAAAACTTAGGCCTTCCATTGAGTTCGGACTAATTGGTCATTTGGTGTGTATTGGCCTAAAAAGAATAAACTAATACGTGGGCATTATTATTATTATTATTATTTGTAATAGGCATAATAAAAAAGTGCAAACAAGTAAACATCTCTTTGTTTTTGTTTTTTTAATTGAATGAAGAGTTTATAAAAAAATCTCTAGAAAAAAGTTACACAACATAAAAGCGATAGAAATTGATCCCATACATATCTTTTAAAACAATCAAATAACAACTAGGGGAAATACTTAGGAATCTATGCAGACCAAGTGACAATGAGAAAACATGATTTGCCAACCAATATATGCAATGATTTGTCTTTCGACAAACATGAGTAGTTTGAACCTATCAATAACATTGCGGTAGTAACTCGAATCGATCTAACTAAGTGAGCATTATCAAGGTTGGTACATTGATAGTTTTGAATTAATCGTATTGTAGGTTTAAAATTTAATTTCATCTCTATTTTCTTGAATCCCATATTCCAAACAATTTGTAAACCTATATAAATTGCCATAATTCTGCTCCGGTAATAGAACAAATCCTCATATTATAGGCAAATTTTCCAAGTCATGCACCACTAATATTCCTTAGGCCTCCTCTTACAAAAGCATGTCCCTCGTGTAATTTAATAGTCATCCGTGTTAAGTTTGATCCACTTTGATTTCAAAAGTAGCGAAGAGATCATTAATTCTAGTTTATGTGGTTTAGAATTAGCACACTTTTGGAGATCTATAGTTGTTTTCTTAACTTCCTTCAAACGAGAAATGATCTCCTGCTAGATATTACATGGCGGAGAGAAGTTAAGATAAAAAATGCTCGTATTATGTCAATTCTATGAGCTTCAACGGATCATTCCAAGACAGATTGTCCATGGAGGGTTAGATGGACAAGAGTGGAGTTCAAATTTGCTTTGACTCAATCCAATAATTACTTGTTATAAAAATTAGAAGTAAAATGAGAGGTAGAGATTGATTCCTAAACATGTTTAGCAAAAAAAACAATCACAAAGAACATGAATTGTATCTTCTATTAGGTTCCCCGATAGAAACATTGTATCATATTTTTATTCTCTTTACATTTAGTTTATTTGCTATGTTTTATGTCTTGTTACTATAATTCATGCTCGTATTTATGTTCAAGACATAAACTAGGAAAGTTATAGAATTCTAACATGATTAACTTAGACTTTTTGGCTTCTTGCAGGTTTTTTAAAGCCTTAAAATTGGATTTGAAAAGAGTGATTTTTAGAGGCTTTGTAGAGGATATCTTAAGATTTTCATAATGATGTAGTGGTCAAAATCTAAGTTTTTTTGCCTCCAAACAATATTCATATTTTGTTCTACAAAGCTCATTCGAATCCTAACGAATGCCACTAGTAGTATCATATCCATCTTTCTTAATGATTGATTTACAATTTTAGCAAGATCTTATGAGAAAGTTGAAATTGTTTTGAATGTTATTATTATAGAAGTGCGTACATGCTAGAGAAATTTAACTCGCTTTTTTTATTAAGCATGATTTTATAAGTAACATTTATTTTAAAATTATCCTTTGAAACTAGGCCTAAGCGGGGTTTAAGTAAAATGAGATTTTGTAGTTAATTTTGAAAAAAAAAAAAGCATTCCAAATTGAAATTTTGGCCTTACCGATTGAATTGTAAATCTATTCTAATGTTTTGAGTTACTTAATGATTAAGGATATTCATCACCAATGTTTGCTCTTTTGTACAATAACTTGAATCATGAGTATGCAAAACACTCTAAATTTATAACTTGTTGAGTAATCGGTTGGTTTCATCACAAATATTAGTATTCGTGTAAAAAGATAAGTGATTACTTAGGAAGAATTATTATAGGCCTTAAAGAAGAATTGGAATGAAAAGAAAAAAATAAGAAAAGAAAGTCTCAATTCATTATTTTTGCTTGTTCTAGTGGTAGGGGGTAATGACAAAATAAATGTTGCATACTTAAATTATGTTGATTATAGAAGGATATAAATTGATTTAGAAACATGCATGGATATAGGAGTAATATTTTAAATATGATTTATGTGATCATTTGATTTTGTTGGATTCTAAATTAAGATTCAATGTTTGAAGGATAATTATATTTATATAACTTTCATCTAAGATTTTATGGATATATCTTTTAAAAATCTTCTCAAGACACAACTCCTACATTAAGAATGACTTAGGGGTTTAATGACTTATTATATATTAAATGCAATCGTGATTCATATCAAAAATAAGTTAGAAAGTATTTTATTTTATTTATTTTGTTTGTTTTGCTGGAATAGTCGCTTTTCTATTCTCGCATCTTGAACAAAAATTATCAGCTGACATTTGTCGTCTGTAAAGCTAATAATTCGTAAGAAGTGGATCATGACCTACTAACAAAAAGAAGGATCGAATCCATTAGGGTCTCGGCTAACTCCAAATAAAGCTCCAGACTTTGTCATCTGCTATAGTTTTAGAATTAGAAAGGAGTGAGTAGGCTTATTTAATTGAAAATTTTCCACTAGAAGTATTATCCCAAACAACCGATCATCTCCCAAGAAAGTACGTGGACACAACACCGCAGCAATTTGAAGACAGAGACGGAGGCAAAAATTATAGGAACTTCGTCCACGTCCATTGTCCACTTGGAGTTACATAGAAACTTACCGGTTCATGTACAACAGAGGTAGGAATAGGCTGGAGCTGCAAATGTAATCAAATGCGTCGTGGAATAACTATCTATAAAGTCAAAACTGTGCAGTGTTACCATATCCAACACATCATGAAAGCCCTCGAAAGATGTGCTGCCAATTATTGCTGATTCCTCTCGAAATAATGGAGCCATTAATTTGTCATAATGCATGTGTGGCTGTAATTGAGATAGATTCTAATATTCTTCACAAACAGGGTTGCATGTATGATTCTGATTTTTTTATAGTCACACTGCAACATAAAGCCACCTGAGTATTAAAAAAAAAACAAAGCTAATAGTGCTGATCAATTATTGCATGCATTATTTACCTTAAAATGATGGCCATAGCCAGATGGGTCAAAGCTGGTTGAGATGAAGAACTTGATATAGTTGTGGCAGATTTCGGAACTTGATAGCTAGCAATCTTAGCAGATTTTGGAAATCGATATATACTAGTGCGTTATCTAAATTAAAGTTGTCTCATGTGCATTTCTGATCCTCCACAGCTCACATTTATAGTGATCAAGTAATTTAATTATATTGCTGGAAACATGGGCTCTATATGTAATTAATATATAGTGATCACTTTATAATCACAACCCTTTCTCTTGTTGTTTATTGCAATTGGAAAATTATGTAAGATTTGTGATTCTACAGCAATCCCATTTTCCACTCAGTGGAATTGATTTTTTTGTGACATACAAGTGGTTGGCCACTTGGATTGGTGATAAAATTAAAAGGCTGTTTGTCAATTCTTTGTTTCCATTCATTGTTTTATACTATCGATATTATATTTCTATTATAATCATAACATATGCTAAAACAGAACGTGGTTTTACTGTAATTAAGTTCATGTTACACTGAAACTAAAATTGTATCGTTTTGGGGTTTTAAGACTCAAAACGATATTGTTTTTCTCAAAAAAAATAATAATTTTTTATAATTTTTTAATATTTTATACTTTGATCATTTAAGTTATGATTTTATATAAAACAATTCATAATTTTAATTAATATTATCAAAAGGTCCTTGTACTTTTTTTCCGGATTGGGTTTTTTCATTAATTATTGTTTAATCAAAATAATGCTTTTTTTCCATAATCAATGGATACTTTTTCTATTTTTATAAATATTCATGAACTAAAATTAAATATTCTTCTAATAGAAATTGATTAAATAGTTTCTTCTAATTTGATTTTTTAAACATAAATAATTAATTACATGTATTTTTTATCTATCAAAATAAAACATATTCTTAAGAAATATTTAAATTCAATTATATATATATATATATATATATATATATATATATATATATATATATATATTAAACAATTTTTTTTACAATAAGTATTATTTAATTTTTATTTTATATTTATATTTTTAAATTATTTAAAATATTAAAATATAGATATAATAAATTTACTCGCGGCAATGCGTGGGGATTAAGCTAGTATCTACTGATTGCTGGTTTGCGTATGAATTATGAAAAGTTGAAAACTACGGTCTGTGCCTTCTTTGACATATGTTGCTGACCGACCAACCGAAACGGTGAAAACTACTTAGTCCCCCACCAATTAGGCAAGTTGCACAGCATGGGTTGGCCAATGTCGAGGAGCACGTGGTTGCAGAGGCAAGACACATCTTCAACTTGCAGAGAAATTAGCTACATTTGAAAGGACGACTGACACTTTTGTCTTTCTAATATCAATCAAATTCCTATAAAAAAATTCGGACACACACACTTATATAGGCTGTCATTCTTGTTTAGCTCACCTCAAACTAACATCCATCAATCACTCTAAATGGGTATAGATTAATCTTATACTGGAGTTTTTTTTTTCCTAAATGCTTCACACTTTTAGAATAAGAAAAACAAGTTTTAAAATCTTGTGGTAACGTAAGATTTGAATCTTAAAACTTTTCGTTAAAAGTTCAAAATTCTTATCATTGAACTATTCATCGTGATTGTTTTTAACTTAATTTTGATATAACCTTAATTCTTCAATTAATGTTTTTAGCTTTGAGCTTCTAGAGTTAAATACGGTGATTAAGAATTGAGTTTTTTTATTAACTAAAAATTTAATATAAAGTATGTTAAATAACCGTATCAATTTAAGTTATTAATAATGATCACAATGGTTTTATGCTAATCATCTAACAAACTATATTATAATATTTCAAGGATAAAAGTTTTCTTGACGATGATCCATGTAATAAGATAGCAAGAAGTGGTAGATAGAAGCTTTTATTTCACTGTGTATGTTATTATAGAAGTAGTAGAAATTGATATTAAACAGAAAAAAGAAAGGAAGAAAATAGCCAAGAGAGGCAGCCATTACCCCCCACTAGCACAAGAATTTTTCGAAGACCCCCTTAAATTAATGTGATAATATGGATCCATTGCCTTCATGCCTTCCCAGTCTAAACTTTTTAACTGCCCCATGTGCTCCCTTAATTTGCTTTGATCTCCTAAGAATACTCTCATGTTGCGTCCGGCCTAGAGGGTTTTTGTGTGTGTGTGTGTGTGTGTAGCCTTACTTCAGCTAACCTGATCATTGTAAATTGCACCACTCTTGTAAAATTTCATTAAATAATTAAATTTCAGGATTAGTACTGCTAATCCGTGTCTTATTCGTTGGACGAATGATTGTTTTTTTTTCAAAGGTTCCTTTTCTTAGTAAACTTTCACCAACTTCAAAGATTCACAACTAATTAAAGAGAATAGTTTTATGGTAATTATTGTCTTATGTAATTAGATGGGGGATCTTCCATCAAATCCGGGGCAAAAAGATGTCGGGTTCTGTGTCTTTTATTTGATATTCAAATAGATATATAGTCTATATTTTCCCCTCTTTCTCCATCAACAACACAGAGACAACAGATATAATAGAGAGCATTTGTCTTTATCCCTTTTCATGATTTGATATAACCTATCCTTTTGAACCTTTTCCCCCATAGGAACGGACCCAACATTTCTTCCATTACGATTGTACTACACCTTTCATCTCTACTAGTTTACCATCCAAGAAATTAGAGGTCCTTAACATAGCCAACCAGTCAAAACTTGGAAAAAAAGTAAACTACAAGACAAAATCGCGTTATTTACAAAAAAAGGAAAAAGAAAACTCATTTTCTAACCAACTTTTACCCTATTATGGTCGTTTACATCAACACGTCCATTTAGAGGAGCACAAATTCTAACGCATGAGAGTGCTTTGTTGAAATGCTTAGCTTTAGTGCCAAGGTACTCGTTCCAAGTGATTGGCCGATAGAGGGGAGGATGATTTGGGCCTACAAGTTTTTGTAAGGGTGATATTTGAACGCTTGAAGGTGGCCCATAGAGGTACGCAATGGATAATCTGTGTTGGGTCCGGTTAACCACCGCTCGGTGGAGCACACTCGGGTACAACCCATTTGATAAGATGTGGAGTAGGTCCCCTACGTTTACAACAAGCCCACCCGGGATTGGTGGGACAGTGACCCACCCAGTTCCCTCTTTTAGCACTTGCAATCCACTAGTGTTGCTCTGGTAAAGAATGGTGAGCAGAGTGGAGTCTGTGTGCTCAGCAAGACCCATTGCCTGATCTGGATCCGGGCAAGCCGGGTAGTAATTCAGTTGTAGGGCTGCACTACTCTCTTTGGATTCACCTTTTGGGCCATCCCATTTGAGATCTTTCTTGGTTATGCCTAATGAGCCCAACACTAACCACGTCAACCTTCTTGCTAACTTTTGCATTTCTTTCTCATATTCTTCAATTACATCACTGGGAGAAAAAAAAAAATCAGAAAGTGAAAATTGGCAAAGGATGAAAAAAAAAAAAAAAAAAACTGTATCAAATAGTAAAGACGCTATTGTTATGGATATAAAATAAAGCAAACAGCAACAAGTGGATTTTGTCTATTGATACTATATCACTCCAAATCTTCTAAGTGGGTCCATTAGCTTTCATTGTTATCTATGCTAATTGCATTAAGGAAAGCAAATGGAGTTTGTGTTTTACCACAAACTTTGATCGCCATTACTAAAATAATACTTGCTATATATGTGAAAGCTTGCATTAATCAATGAGGTAGCTTGTGTTCATCCCAGTGGTACCTTTTATTTTTGCACTTGCATTTGAAAAAAAGGCACTCCCTCCCCCTCCGTCTCAAAAAAATTATTTTTTTATATAAATTAAAAAGGTTATCAATTGTTATGACATATAGTATTTATGTTTATATATATATATTGATCATTTTTTACAAAATATATTTTAATTAAGAATATTTTATAAAATATATCATTTAAAATTTTAACTGATATATATCAATAGAAAAATAAACAATTTTTTTAGAAAAAGAAAAGGTAGTACCAGAATTTGGTGTAATCTTGAGGCCAAAGTTGGCGAAAATGCTCTTGTGGAGAGCCAACTATGGTGAATCCCTCTGACCACATGAGCTTGGAGAAAAATGAAGAAATTCTAGCCACACCATAGCCTGAAACACCATCGGGTGATCTAGCGGCTTTGAGTTTTTGTTGGGTAGGTAAACAGAAAAGGGTCCTACTAGCACTCTCAACGTTGTCGAGAAGGCTAATAGGGATGCCATGGTTTGTGACTTGAAGCACACCCCAAGTTTTACATGCATGGCCTATATTTTGAAGAACATTAGGGTCTAAGAGATCGATAACGGGCACGGACTCAGTGACGAAGGACTCAACTGAAGGATGCCGTTCATCATCGACTTGAGTCCATTTGTGGGAGTCAGGAATCTCTTGAAGAGAGCTAAAGTCAAGGTGCTTTTGGTGTAGATGGACGGGGTAGGCTCTAAAAGCGTCTGCTAATAATGATCTCGAAGGCATAGCGAAATTAAGTTATTGGAGATAGAGAGAGAGTTTTGTGGTTCGGGCGCTACAAAGAAAATAGGATATGAGAGGAGATCGAGAGTACTGTTTTTCTCACTAAAAAGAAAGGATAAGTGAGAGTTCGAGGGAAGAATGGAGTGCCCTTTGAATTTTAGTCGCTAAGTCAAGAAACAAGCTCCGGCAAATAGAGTGGGGGGTTCCCTCCAATGAAGAAAACGTAGGATAAAAGAACGAGGTTTGAGATGAGAGATGTGATGATGGTTTTGTAGTTACTATATATAGAGAGAGAGGTAATGGGCCCACTTCATGAATATATCACTCCTAGTATATGTTTTACATAGAGAGACTTGGAGGGAAGATGGGGAGAGGCTTATGTGTTTTTAGCAAATCATTTTGTAGTTTAGTTATGAAAACAATCAGAAACGGTGGATTAGGTGCGATCTAGATTCTAGATTGAGGATAAAGGAATAATTGCAGTCAGCTGCAGCTGTACATCCATTGGTATTATGAACTTTTTTTTAATAAAAAAAATTAGATTTCAAATTCAAATCTTTCGTTTGTAATTAACACAAGTAAAAAAAAAAAAAAAAAAATCTGTCATTTTTTTTTTTTTACTCTTGCGTGTATATAAATACACACATACTTCAGTTTAATACTTAATTATTTTTTATTTATATCTCTCACATGCATGCAACCTTAAATAAAAGATTAGTAGCGGTTAAGTTGGTATGAATTAAAATTAGTAGGGAATAGTTTGTAGGATAGAACAATTATATTAACACCACATGAACTTACTAAACTACTATTATAATGACGAGAGACTATTATAGTTTTATCTTAAGGAAAAGGGTTTTTTTAAAAAAAAAAAAAAATCAAATACTTTTAAAGGAGAATTTGAATATGTAATATTGGGTTAGGTTTCTCTCAAATTAGGCGTAACATGATTTATTAGGTACATTCAGACCATAATAGTTCGGATTTTATTTCATCAAATTAGTAGGTGATTAGAATCAATTTAAAATTGGTAATTTAGTGAAATGAAATTCTAACTATATATTACTTCAAAGTCAATAGTCTGAATATAATTAATATGATAGATCAATGTTACATCTAATTTAAAAAGATAAAATAAAATCTATATAATCTTTGTACAAAGAGAGCTCCCTCATATTGATAAAACATGACATTACTTATTATATAAGTACATTTTTTTTAATAATTCGAGTGTATTAAAGTTTAAAATAAAAAATTAAACAAAATTACTATAAAAATTATACCACAGCCACTGTTTATCATAATTCGTTGTGCGATTCACAAATCATCCTTTTTGAAATCATTTTATAGAACATTTTTGTAATACAAGCGTATTGTTTGGAACTCGTATTTTTTATCTTCAATTATAAGACGATGATAGATGGTATGATAAATCAAAGATTGGGATATTTTAGAGGAGATTAGAGTGAGTTTGGAGGGAGCGGTGGGTTGTTTATGATAGAGAGAGAGAGAGAGAGAGAGAGAGAGAGTCTTGAGTGGTATTGGGGGAAGTGTTGATTGATGAAGAAAGGAGACAAGAAACGAAAGGATAGATGGGTGTTCTGGGTTTAGACAAGGGAAAGAACAAAAACGAAAGGACCATCTTGTCCTCTTCAAACAATATAAACTGAAGAAATGAAAGGGATCACAACCTCTCCTGTCACGCCATCTGTAAAAGAGGAAGAGGATGCCCTTTCTCTCTCCATGTGCCTTTGTCCGGTCCTCAAGTAGAAAAACATCCATATCATCAACCCTCCATCTTCAACCTAATCTCTCTTCACTACAAGACATTTAATACCCACCATCAATTGGCCTGGTTCTGTGACCAAATTGACCTTTTCACTTGGCCTTTCAAAATTGCCGTAGAAAAACTCCTCCTTTCTCAGTCTGTGGTGACAAAGGGACTCGAAAGAGCAACTTGCTTGACTTGGGGTTATCCCGAAGGGCACAATTGTCCCTTTATCCATGGAAAGTAGTAAAGTTTCTTTTGGTATTTTGTGGTTAGATTTGCGTTCTTTTGTCCTGATTGACCAAATGTGGGCTCTCCAGACCCCTACCCATCACCTCTTCAAATTCACAACAAGCATTTGCCTAATGAGATTTTTTTTCTCCAGTTAAAATCCTCCACCTTTTCTCTTTACATCCACAGACGGATTAGGTAATCAACAACATAAGCCCACAATTTTCATTTTCTTCCCTTTAATTTTATTTATTTATTTATATGTGGTTTCTATAGTCACATAGCATAATACAAACAAGAATATTTTAACGTAATATTCGTGTCATATATGTTATCCCTTGGGTAAATGACCATCGTAAATGGGACATAAGCTTGTGATCACCACGCATACACATGCATATAACACTCCTTCTACAGGCGTATGTGCACTATGTTGTTCACGTGGGGTCGGGTCATCACGTATAATAAATACATCCTGAAATTAATTATTATAGTTAGAATTGGTTAGTTGCAAGATAATTACCGATCATGCGTGTTCTCTGCAATGAAAGGTCAATTGCAGTGATTAACACATATCAATTGGAATCGTTTTTTTTTTTTTCTCAATTTATGAATACATTCCGTATCGTCTAGAGAAAAAGGAAGTGAAGAAACTAACTTTTCACGATGTCATTCCAAAGAGTTAATCTAATATTCAAAAAGATTTCAACGTTTTATTAACCTTTTGTGTTCAAATCTTGAAATTATTTATTAAGTTTTTCTAAATGACCATGTTAATCTAAAGATGCGTTTTTCAGATTATTTTAAAAATAATTATTATAAATTGATTGATGTGCAAGTTAGTGTGAGGAAATCTCTTCTATTATCGTTATATATTTTTTATGTTTTGATATATATATATATATATAAACACTATTTTATGGTTTGATGTATATATTTACACTAATTTAGATATCGATTTTCAAATTTTGGCACACACTTCACAAACATCTAATTCCTATGGCAAGCTTTTGCTTCTTATAGTTTCTCAACTATGCACAATTTTATTTTAATTTTAATTTTTTATTTTTTTTTGGGGGGGGGGTTCCATTGACGATATTTTATTTTTTAAAAAAAAGTATATCTCTTATTTTTACGAGTCTTGCAATCTTTTTTTATGTAAACTTAGGTAACTTAATTATAAAAATGTACACATATTAGTATGTTTTCCTATGTAATTGGTGTTTGTTACAGCATTTAGAGTTAGCATGCTCTTTCGTTCCAAATTAAAAGGATTAAGAGATAATTAGAAAAAAAATTTGTGATATAATTAGCATTAACTTAATTAGCTGACAATAATAAGGCAAACCCAACCAAATTTCCAAACTCGATCCATCAGTACTGAAGTGCAAGCTGGCAAGCCAAAATAGATGGTTGATTTTGCCATTTTCCCCAAGGAAACAAATCCACGTGTACATGTTCGTTATAAGTTATATCCAAACTAAGATATCATTCCTGATTTCCTCAAACGATGTAAGAAAAATCTATGCCTTTAATTTTTACAAAATTATTATTCTCTATTTTGTGAAAGTATCCACGACTTTCACCTGAAGTAACTCCTGCAAATTGCGAAACTTTACAGATTATTTTGGTGCCTGGGCAGCTTTCTCGGTCTTTGGGCAACTTTTTCCTCGCCTAAGCCCTTTTCCCTACTTTTTGTTTGTTTTTATTTTTTAATTATTTCCAGCGAACAGCTTGTTTTGTTTTGTTCTAAACATAGAAATTGGACTGTTTTAAAGGGCAGGCCCGAATGGTTTCTTTCTCTTTTCTTTCTTCATTTAAGGCTTTTTTTTTTTAATTGTCATATATCTCAAATTCAAATATTTAAACTAAAATTATTCGTTATTTAATTAGATATATAAAATAGATATAATTATTCAAAAAGTTATATATATATCTTAAAATCAAAATCATTTCATTAAATGACTAAAATCCCTTTAATTCAAAACAATCATTTTGGATTAAATATTTTTCTTTTAAATTATATATATTCCTTAACATTTTTTCAATGGGAATTCCTATTAAACTGGTACAGGTTAAGAAATTTCGTAAGTATAAAATAATGAGAAAATCTAGATGGAGTTGGGCAGACAGTCAACAAATCTAACGCGTTTTAGTCATCAAATCTAACGCGTTTTTCTTGAAGAATATATAGTTGGCAATGGCATGCCTTCTTTTATGTTGATTCAAATAATTAATTACATTAGGGTTCACATATGAATAATCTTAGCTAGAAGATCTCTTTTGAAATGTCGTAAGCGGCAACCTGCTAGCTAATTAATATGAATTTCTAAATTTGGAGCTATCCACTTTGGTTTGAATTTCTTCTTAGGGACCTAATGATTATTTCAAGCATCAACATGAAAGGAGAGACAAGATGCTCCTGGTCTCGACCTTATTGGATACCAAGCTGCCCCCATGTTATTATTCTTACAGCTTTTGGTACATGACTTAACGCCATATATATTGTCAATTATTAGAAAGTCAGCTTTAGCGGTAAGGATTAATATTGGAAACCACTAGAAGCCATGCAGCTGTAAAATTAGAAGCAATAAGACAAGCAACCGGTGCTTACGTACGCTTGCAAGAAAAGAATACCAAAACATCACTTAATTAATTCAAATTTTTAAAATCTAACATGATGCCCTAAGATAAGTTTTATGTGTTCACTGTCTACCAGGGGTTTATAATTAACCTAATAAGGACGTTCACCGGCTCACATCATTAAGGATGTATGTTTCTTTCTAAACCATGAAGATTCAAATTAACCTCAAGTTGAGATCTTAGGCTTATAATAATTTTTTTATTATTTGTTGATGAATTGGCTCGAGATATATATATTAATAATAAGTTTGAGTTACAATAATAATAATAATAATAAACTCATAGAACATTAAAAAAAAAAACAAAAGTAGCTTAATTAGCCAATAAGAAAGTGGCTCGACATCTCTAAAATAGAACAGGC